AGTAAAGTCAATGACGATTGAATAAAATATTTCACAAATAAATATTACATACTAAATTAGGCTGTGGATGATCGATTTGAATATCAGTATAAGACTACTTAATCTAATATTTCAGTATCATTATCTAAAAATCTCATTACTGATGTAGTTTCAGTGTGAAAATCATGTGGATGCTTTTGGTGATTTCATGTTTTCTAAAGTAAATCGTTTAGTTTCGGAGTTCTTCATAGTCTAGTTCCGGACAGCATTATCATCGTCTACTTTATATAGAGTTCATGAAGTAGTATTGTCCAGAGCAACTATGAAAGCTATACAAGTTAACTATATAGTTCAACGTACACAACAACAACAACAACACTCAACTATAGACCTTTCATTCCTTTTAAATCAATACTTTTTCAAACACTTATTCGTGGAGTCTAAGGTGTAGGTCTTTCATTATGTTCTATTAGCGTAATTGCTACAGCAGATACATTTTAATTTTATTTAATATCTATCACTATCAGTTGAAATTACTAATCAATTAATTAAATATGTGAGAAATAAAGACCATTTATGTGCAAATTAGTTGACTAACATAGTATGATTTCAAGTTTTCGTTCTTCGATTCATTTATTAATTCATTTCACTCAAACTTACATAACTTCAGTTGATTGAAATCTAATGAAGAAGCACCTGCTCAATACCTTTTGGAATTCTAATAAGTCTTTAACTCTTAGCTGTCACAAAAACTATGTTTGATTCTACTCGTTTTGGTGGGGTTTTGTTCTCTGAGTTGAAATTTGCGCTGATGGCGTCGTTCAGGGGAACGATGAAAGCTCCATGACCAAACTATCCAGCTCTGAAAACAAAACTCCAGCACGACCATCCACCTGAGCTACAAATTTTCCCCACCATCTCGATTTAAAACAAACAATCGAATCAAACGTCTAAAGTATTTTATCTATTTTTGTTTCGTTGTGTATTCGTTTGACATCGTTAGTTATAGTTAAGAATCTGATAAATCAGCTTGTATCCTGATTATTCAGTCATCGTATGTTACAAAGGTAATCGGAATCTTGTAGACGAAGGGTGATATCACATATCTTTTTCTAGACTCAGCTTTGTCTCCAGAAATATTATTTTTAAGACTATTTGCTCTCAAGTTTTGCTGATTATTAGCTGTTTTTCAATTTAAATATTTTCATTAACTGCAAAATTAAACCTTCTTGTCTGTCAGGCAGATGTCAGTAAATCTTAGATTTAGTGTTTGTACTGGTTGACACTCGTCAACCAGGTTTACCTGCAATTTAAAAGGGATTAATGCTCTGTGTGCTATCCAAACCCGCATCGCTCAGCTTCAATCTGATGCATTACCACGGAACTGTTTGGGCGGCCTTCGATATCTGAGACAGCTACAATTGATTAATAGCTGAGCGTTTGTTAATGTCATGTTTTTCTAGTCCTTTCTTAAGTGTTGGCTGAATTCTACCGAACGACTATCTCCAGCCACTTAACATCTGAACACAGTGCGTTTCAATATTAAGTCATTTAGAATAGCGACCAAATTACAACACGGTCGATAGTATTCAGTCGGCAGCTAAGAAGAGGCTGGACAAATATGCCATTGGCAACTAATCAGTGATAAATCATTTGTATGTTCTCTTATTTATTTGTCAATTCTTGAAATTTCTTTATATTGATAATAATATGGAAACACATACTACTTATTTATATACTATTAGTATGTTTCCTACTTTCTCATTTCAACATTTTTTCTCATAATAGGATTCAATGTCTTCCAATCAAAACTTAACAGTTGTTTGTTGTGGTTCAGTATTCAAAAGTTGGGATCTAATCAGAGATGGTAATTTTCCGTTTTGTATAACGTTTAAAATTAAACTGTAATAAAAAATTCGATGAAAATGAATAAAGTATATAAACAACGTTGATCGGCTTTCCAGCCAACCGGTAATCAATGTTTGATTATGAATTGAGTTAAAATGAAAAAGCTTAATAATACTACGGTTACTAAAACGGTTTTAACATGAGTAATGGACTTTGCAAATTATTCATTAACGTTTTCATCGGAAGTTACTATATTGATGTAGGAATACTTTGTAACCAAAATGGTGAATAAATTTCGTTCTGTTGAAAATCCCTTCTGTCCTATTTCCATTATTTCTTTTTTTAACGTTAACTTCGATTTACCTCTACAAAATTGTCATGCAGTAACGATTCTTGGAGTATTTCAACTAATAGCTCTATCGTCTAGACACTTAACTTCCAGCCAAAAAGTTGAAGTGTTATGGTTGTTGTAGATCGGGAATTGAATCCATTATATATGGCTGAAACTGAACGACCTTTTTTAGCCATGAAATTTAGTATCCAAAGATTATTGTGTTTTATTGCCTCTCTCTGTGCTGGTGGACGGCCTATGCTCTTCCACGAGGGGTAACAAGTGTAAGTAAGTGTTGGGAATATATGGCCTAGTGCTATATCTTGATTTGGTCGTTGCTAGCTTTTTTCGACCTACTCTTACGCTGACAAACATTACCTTTTAAGGTATGCGGTGATTAGATTTGCTTAATCGATATTCCAACTAATTCGTCATCTGTACCCTGTACCCCTCATTTAACTTGAACACTGCTCACTTTATTGTCCCAACATACGCTAGAAATGTTTTGGAGGCATCTGTGATCGAACACTGTTGGCCTCAGTAGTTCGAATCGAAGTAATATTACAGCGTGTGATATGAATTACAGCTAATTTCAGTATACATTTCTGATTTAAATAACTTGCTTTTTTCCTTAAATATTAAAAGTGCCAATACGATGATCGTCTTTGTCATACTTAATCATATCGGTCTGAATACGATCAAATTCATGGATTCCACGCAACAGTCTCTAAACCATAATTAACAATAATCACTATCAACTTAACACCTGGTTAGTGTAAGCAGTTTATGAAGATTGTTGAGTTTTCTTGCTTGTGTCACAGGCTCTAGTTAGACAACCACTAAAGAACAGGGAGCACTGAATGGCTGTTTCGACCTGTTATGGAACTGTTCAGCAGTGTACATCCAGGACCGTATCGAGGTCGAACCTAAGACTCATAGTCAGCATGTACATAGATATAAGCCATTCTATTTTTGATATAACCTGACATTGTCTTATTATTTGAACTTTCTTTCTGGTACATTTTAAAGTGGAAAATAATTCGAATAATTTCACATTTTTCTTTTCTCTTTATTTCAAATAGGTTTTAAAGATTTTCTGAAACCATCTGAAGATAGTAAATGGACAGGGACTTTAGAATTAGTTCAACTAAAGCATAGTGCGGCTTATGGTGCAGCTCGTCTTTCAGTCCACTTTGATTCCAAAGTGACTATCCCTATAGACTCAGGTGTACAGTTTGATAAAATTTTGTTCGGTGTAAATGTTTAATACTTCCAAATATATATGTGCACTGACTTTTATATTGTAAGCAACAATATAATTTCTAGTTCTTTTATAATATTTAAAACAAAATTTAGTATTTTTCTGTATTGTTTAAGTAGCATTTTCATTTTTTTATATTGTACCCCCTATGTGCTCATTTATTGATTCAGTTTAATGAGAAAAAACAAAAAAAATATTGATACGGCTTTTTTTTGTAACCCCCCCTTCCACTTGGTTACATGAATGTATTTAAAGAAACTATTATGAAAGTATATAATGGTTATCTTGATCAACTCTTAGATGATCTTAAGAATGTCAAGTCTATTTCTGGCCAATCAGAAAATGGGGCTGATATGAATAAATAATTTATTATTTTAATACCTCAATTAAATTGGTGTTCGGATTAACATGTAATAGTAAAGATTTGATGATTGGATTGAAAGAATACTCTGTATCCATAATGATGAATAATTACGGAGTTAGTTCTGTGATTTTAAACATCAAAAACTGTCAATTCATCTTCATAAATAATTTTAGCATCCGCATGGAAAAATGGTCATTTTTCCATTGTTATTTCAAGAATCGCTCAAATTTGTCCTTGTTTATCAGTCGTGCTATGTATATCAACTATAATTGTCTTGGTCAATAATTGGTAGTAGGCTCAACCTTGATATTTTCTAGGATTTTAATGTAGTGGATCAGTTAAAAATCTTCAAGTGATGAATGGACGTCACAACAGATTGTAAATCACATTTCTATTGTGTATATGCACCGCATAAAGTACTGTCAGTTCCCAAGTGTCTTCAACGCCCCAATTATTTCATTGAACATTAGATCTGTAGTCAGTCCTATAATTCTGTTATATCTTAGATATACATAATCTAGTTACTGAATACTTATACCATAAGAATATATAAATAATATTTGTCCATTAATAGGTCTCAGACTTTACTCGTAATGTAATCTTCACTAGGATATAACAAATTCCACAGTGATAATAATGGAGTACTCATCTAATCATAATCATTATATCTCCATCGAAATGATAGAATTCCTAGTTATTTATTTCGTTTTCATAATTATAGTCAGTAGATCTTATGAAATAAACTTTCAGATACATTTGAAGGGATTTCTTCGTAATTTGTATCAGACACAACTCTTAGAGTGTAGTACTGTGGTGCGTGCTACTTATATTGATATGAGTAGTGTATAACGCGATTCAGGAATGTAATGTCTGGCAGCAGAAAATCAAGAAAAGAAGAACGGGAATAGAAAGCAATTAGTATAGAAATGCAAGAACAATGAAGTCCGAGACAATTATTGAACATTTTGCAAATTAGGTATTATAGTATGGTTTTTCTATTTTACCAAGTAACTGTAATGTTGTGCTGAATATAATTCGGTTGTCCTCACCTGTGTTCTCCTTCACTACAGTACAACTATTTACTCTTTGATTTGGGAACAATAAATAAAACGTACTCCAATAAAGAACAATTAATTATTGCTCAAGGCTCATATTTTATTAATAATTATTATTTTAACGTAAGAATAAGCATACAACACAATAATGCGAATCAAAGACCAATTTATTATTTTCCATAGCGCACAATACGAACAGCTCGTTTCGGTGAACCAATAGTGGAACCTGGATTGTTCATTAGAATTCGTTTCAATCTATTCATTCTCCTTGTATCTGATCTACCAACTCGTGGAAATAGTGTAGAACGATCTTGTCGATAAAATGTTACCATATTTTCTGGTTCTTCATTTATTATCTCATCTAGATCATCAGAATCGGTTATACTATCTAGTGAATATATTGAGGAAACTAAAACTTGATGTAAAAAGTTTTGAAAATGAAAAGAAGACAAAATGTATTTTTTAAAAATTAATTTATCATAATGATAATCAAAAAGAAAGTATACAACTTATCAACAGGCTTGAACTGAGAAATGAGACTAACTTTTCTGTGGGAAGCAGAAAGATACTAAATATATGCTAAGTTTGAACTTAATAGCTGAAACTAGGGTTTATGTTAGCGTCACCAAAACGAAATTTTGTTTTTATCCTCTGGTAAGGTTATCTGTTTTTAAGGTACTAGGTGAATGTTTTCTAAATTTTGTAATGAACTATATCGCATAGAAATGAAAAAACCCAGTTTCTATGGTTGAATTAACTAGTTCTGACACGTGTAATGTCCATTGTCATGTTAAGCCCATATTACCTTATTCTAGCTTTCGGACAGGCCAGTCCATTCATTATAGTTGATTTGTATTTTGACCTTGTTAATCATTCGCTTATCAATCTTGACTGTTTTTATATGAGCGCGTATATGTGTGTACGCTTCTTATCCCATTCCTCATCACATGTCTGTAGCCTATTTTTGTGTGACTAAATATTGATTAACGCCTAACTAAAGGGAGTTGGCTTACCTGCCATCTCCATTGCGCGTCGTTTCTCTTCGTTCTATTCTATTCGCTTCATATACAAAATGTAATCAAACGCCCGTTCTCGTTTTTTGACTTATTTAATTCCGTTATTCACTCGACGTGGATTAAGTCGATGAAATACACGAGGATAGGCGACATATATATTTCGACAGCGATCATTCATACGACCTACTTGGAGTCAGATCCCGGGTCGCTAAAGTGGAGAGCCCGTCAAAAAACATCGTCCAATCTAAATGACGACAAAATAATGGGCCCCACTAAATGAGACATAGATAAAACATAACTTTCGAATACGCTCTAAACTGATGCGGAATTTTCAGAGATGAATATTTTCTTATTTAACATCCTAAATTTCCAGTAAGTGTTTGTGGAGATTGTTGATTTTCATTGAGTTCTAGTGTCGGATATGAGGCAGTTAATTACCTATCGAATGCAACGGAAGATAGTCACGCACTGTTGTGGATTGATTGAATTTAGACATTGAAACCGTTGGATTCCGGCTCATTGGTCTGGGAGTTAAGAGTTGGCGCGAAAAAAAGGTTCTGGATTCGGTCCACGCTTGTGGGATCGTGGGTGCTCACTGCTGAAGAGTCGCACTCCAGGCCGAGACGGACATCCAACGTATACATGTTTTTAGTGTTGGTCAAACTTGCTTCGGTTTATGATCTTAATGAAATCACATAATTTCTCCTACAGGAAAAACCAGCCAGTCAAACATTTCATCTCGTTGAAGTTTGATTATTTACCGTTTTTTCAGTTCTCAACGTGAGATCCTAAGAAATGTATCTAAATTTCGTGTTTCTGATTGTGCTTAACTCCCCCTACGATTGTTGCAGAGAATCACGTAATTTGATGCTGGTCAGTTGATCGATTCTCATTCTGACTGTAGGAAAGACTCTTACTCTCGTAAAATTTTAATTCGTTTGGTTTAACTGTTCGTCTGTATTTATTGATGAATCCGAATCGTCTTAAATTCATTGTGTTTAGGGAATTTATTATTCTATGTGTGTTTACAGTATCGCTTTTCAGTAACCCTTGGTACTTTCTTGTTATTGATTAGATTTAACCGAAATAAATGTTGATATTTTGTATTTAAGTATTTTGTTCATGTGTTTCCCTTATATCTCATTTTTCGGCATGGCTAGGCTCCATACAAAAATAGATGGTAGCCCAAAGTTAAATGCCTGTTTGCTCAGGGTACTAGGCTTTGGTTCGAGAAGAAAAATTGGGACCAAAGAACAAGCACTAGGATTAAGAAGACTAAAGATTATTAAAAAACAGTTGTTCGATAACCTAGCGTTGCGCAATCTGAAACAATCAAGCGACAGAAGCGTCTAGTCTATTATTAGTTCTACATTTCTTGCCTCCAACTGATTCGATATTTTAGAAAGGTACGCTTTTCGCACTGATACACAACGTTTACATGGATCACCAGCTGACCTAACCAAAGATAGTGGTAGTCTCAATTTTGTGGATATCACGTTTGTTTGAGTTGAACAAACCCGACAGGATAAAGCTAGATTTGTTACACGAGAAATACTTTTTCCCTCACTAGTATTAAAATTTTGTCTCATAAAACTAGAGCACTTGAAACAAATTGTTAGCGATCCAAAAAGCAAGATCTGCTTGTCAGTCCAGTTCTGGTTATAATGGCCAAAACTGTAAAATGAATGTGAATTATTTCCGAAAAATACTTTATGAGGCATATCAGCCATCAAAGACACGAATAAAATCCTATTCAACAATGTTATGACATGAAAACTAATTCACACGATCGACCTGAAACTCTTAAAGCTTTAAGGACCCTTTGGACGATATTGTATGATATACAGACAGCTGATAGTGAACTTGGCGGTATTCAGAAGAAATGCAAATCAGCTGAAACCACTATCATAAAAGGTAACCTAGCCCTTTCAGCTATCTGTTCATATCAGCTGAAGTTATCTTCGTTAGCTCTTGATTCTATGGATAGGTTGAATATCATACTGTATTCAACTGTTTTTATTTCTTTGGACTTATCATAAATATGTAAGATTTTTCAACCTTTGGATGGCTCTTTTTATTGATTCGATGTAATTAGAATTACTTACTTACTTACGCCTGTTACTCCTCGTGAAGGAGCATAGGCCGCTCACCAGCATTCTCCATCCAACCCTGTCCTGCGCAATCCTTTCTAGCTCCGTCCAGTTGTAATTCATCCTTTTCATATCTGCTTCTATTATCCGACGTAATGTGTTCTTTGGCCTTCCTCTTTTTCGCTTCCCTTCAGGATTCCAAGTTAGGGCTTGCCTCGTGATGCAGTTTGACGATTTGCGTAATGTATGTCCTACCCATTTCCATCGTCTTTTCCTAATTTCTTCTTCAGCTGGAAGTTGGTTTGTTCTCTCCCACAGAAGGCTGTTGCTGATGTTATCCGGCCAATGGATGTTGAGTATCTTGCGAAGACAGCTATTTATAAATACTTGTACTTTCTTGATTGTGGTTGTTGTAGTTCTCCAAGTTTCAGCTCCATACAGTAGAACTGCCTTGACGTTCGTATTGAAGATTCTCACTTTGATATTGGTTGAAAGTTGTTTTGAGTTCCATATGTTCTTCAATTGTAGGAATGCGACCCTTGCTTTGCCGATCCTCGCCTTTACGTCTGCATCGGATCCTCCTTGTTCATCGATGATGCTTCCCAGGTATGTGAAGGACTCTACATCTTCCAGAGTTTCGCCATCAAGTGTGATTGGATTGCTGTTCTCCGCTTTGAATTTGAGGACCTTAGTTTTCCCTTTGTGTATGCTGAGGCCTACTGGTGCAGAGACTGCTGCTACACTGGCTGTTTTCATCTGCATCTGTTCGTGTGTACGTGATAGGAGGGCTAGGTGATCTGCGAAGTCCAAATCATCTAATTGATTCTGAGCTGTCCATTGTATTCCGTGTTTTCCTTCAGATGTTGAAGTCTTCATAATCCAGTCGACCACCAGAAGAAAGAGGAAGGGAGAGAGTAAACAGCCTTGTCTGACTCCGGTCCTTACTTGGAATGCATCTGTCAGCTGTCCTCCATGCACTACTTTGCACTGTAGTCCGTCATATGAGTTCCGGATAATATTGACAATCTTCTCAGGAACTCCGTAGTGTCGAAGAAGTTTCCATAACGTCCTCCTATCTACACTGTCGAATGCCTTTTCATAATCAATGAAGTTGATGTATAATGATGAGTTCCACTCAACTGATTGTTCGACGATGATCCGTAGTGTTGCAATTTGGTCTGTGCACGACCGATCCTTACGGAATCCAGCTTGTTGATCTCGAAGTTGGGCGTCTACTGCATCCTTCATCCGGTTCAGCAACACTCTGTTGAAGACTTTCCCTGGTATTGACAGTAGTGTTATGCCTCTGTAGTTTTCACATTTGCTCAGATCTCCTTTCTTTGGAATCTTGACGAGGTGTCCTTCTTTCCAGTCCATCGGCACTTGTTCCTCCTCCCAAATCTTTTTGAATAGAAGATAAAGCATGCTTGTGGTTGTTTCGATGTCTGATTTCAGTGCTTCAGCTGGTATGTTGTCGGGTCCTGCTGCTTTCCCGTTCTTGATTTGTCTGACGGCCATTCTAATTTCTTCCGTAGTTGGTGGATTGACATCTATAGGAAGATCTATGTGTGCTGCTTCGATGTCCACTGGATTCATTGGAGCCGGCCTATTCAGGAGTTCCTCGAAGTATTCTACCCATCTGTTACGCTGTTGTTGAATTTCGGTGATTGGCTTGCCTTCTTTGTCTTTGACCGGCCTCTCTGGTTTACTGTAATTCCCTGCTAGTTTCTTCGTTGTATCGTGAAGTTGTTTCATATTTCCTTCTCTAGCAGCTTTTTCTGCCGTCGTTGCTAGTTCTTCCACGTATTTCTTCTTGTCGGCTCTAATGCTCCTCTTCACTTGTTTGTTTGCTTCTATGTATTCAGCTTGTGCTTGGACTTTCTCTGCTCGTGTTCGGCTGTTGTTTATTGCTGCCTTCTTGTTCTTCCTTTCTTTGATCTTGTCCAGTGTTTCTGTAGAGATCCATTCCTTATGATGGTATTTCTTTAGACCGAGAACCTCTTGACACTTTGAAGTTAATGCTTCTTTGATGCTTTTCCAGTTGTCCTCCATAGTAGTTTCTTCTTCTTTCAGTAGATCCTGTAAGGCTTGGAATCTGTTGTTGAAAGGTATCTTGTAATTAGAATATATACGGATATATTGTAGTTGAAATCCAAAACTTCTGCACTTCAATTCACTCTTAATATATTCAACACGAAATTACTTAATACAACCGTTCAATTTCAGTGTATCAATTGTACTGAATATGTTCACTAAATATATTCAACAAAGTTTTCTGATGAAATAAAATATTTCAGGTTACAATTTATAAATATTTAACCTGCCCTGACGTTGCTCCATTGTCTTGTGGATTAGATCTTTAGGTTGAAGGCTCCAGGTGTGACCCCCTTAAAAAAATTCACCTGCTTCGGTTTGAGCACTCGAGCAGTATTTCAGCCTACACACAAATCAGGTGACTTGTGTGCCGCATATATGTTCGGTGCCCCGTTTCATTAGTATTTATGTGTTCAAATAAATAGATTCTGATAAAATAATGGAAGGAGTTAAATAGTACAGTGATTCAATTCGATATAAGCCAAATGATAATTAAGAAATCTTGATGAGTTTACTCTATCAGTCAAAATTTGGATTCAGTTTTCAACGAAACAGATATACACTATTGATTGAAAATGTGGCTAAATTTTCTATGAATCATAGTGATCTACACATATTGTTTACTATTCGGATTCAAACCAATAAAATCTCTTGATTTTCTCACTCAATTCATTTAGGCTAGTTGGATAGAAATCTTGCACAGTAGTCTAGGACTTGAACCACTACACATAATATAACAGTAGAAAATCAAATATTGTTGATAAAAAAATCAATAAACAGTTCCATCAATTTGAAAAACAAACGTATTATCTTACCGAATAATAAAATTAGATAATTGAATCGTATTATGTAATCCATTATAAATCTATATAAGAAAATAAATGATCAAGTGAAGTATATAAACTTTTACAAATATTGAAAAATCTTACTTACGCTTGTTACTCCTCATGGAGGAGAATAGGCTGCTTACCAACACTCTATCTAACCATGTCCTGGGCAACCCTTTCCAGTTGTTATTCATCCTTTTCATATCTGCTTCTATTTCTCTATGCAATGTCTTCCTTAGTCTTCCACTTTTCTGTTTCCCTTCAGGATTCCAAGTTAGAGCTTGCCTTGTGGGCAGTTTGGTGATTTCCGTAATGTATGTCCTATCCAACTCCAACGTCTTTCGCTAATTACCTCATCATCTGGAAGCTTGTCTGTTATCTCTCACAGTAGGCTGTTGCTGATGGTATCCGGCCAATGGATGTTGAATGTATTGCGTAGACAGCCGTTTATAAATACTTGTAACTTTTCGATGATCGTTGTGGTAGTTTTCCAAGTTTCAGCTCCATACAGTAGAACTGTCTTGACGTTCGTATTGAAGATTGTGACTTTGATATTGGTTGACAGTTATTTTGAGTTCCGTATGTTCTTCAACTATGGGAATGCGGCCATTGCTTTACCAATCCTTGCCTTTACGTCCGCATCCGATCATTTTTCCCAGGTGTGTGAAGGATCCTTCATCTTCCAGAGTTTCTCCATCAAGTGTGATTGCGTTGGTGTTCTCTGTATTATATTTCAGGATCTTCCTTTTTCCCTTGTGTATGTTGAGGTCTACTGATGCAGAGGCTTCTACTACACTGTTTGTCTTCATCTGCATTTATTCTTGTGTATGCCATAAGCGGGCTAGATCATCTACGAACCATAAATCTATTTAGGAATAATATCTATCAATCTATTATAACTCTTTTAGTTGAGTCTTAGAGATAGTGGAATTCAATAATTTGAGACGTTATCAGTCAAAGGTCAGCACAGAAGTCAGTGACAATCCTACAATATTTTACGATTTCATTCTTTATGAAATTTAGCGAAATTCTCTTGACTGCAAAAAAATGCTTTTTTCGGCTAGATTGAACTTCTATTATTGACTATTTCTCATCGATTGATGTTTCTTTTTCCTTTTCATGATTCTATCTCTCTATTTGTATCACGTAAACTGTTTTCAGTGTCCAGTTGTACGAGAATTTAAGTATAATACGTAAATTATTGTAATTGAAAGAGTAATGACTGTAAAACTTGTGTTTGGAAGCCACTTTAATTTTCACGATGCAGATTAATAATTGGAAAGAATTAAGTTCATCCTTCAGAAAACATATAAGCTAATTTGAACAACACACTCATTTTTTAAACCGATTTTACGCACAGATGATTAATAATAATTAAACATTACATGTTATCAGATTGAGGGTTTGTGGAGATTGTACTAATTTTAGTAGTTGAATTCATGATTCAATGTAAAGTAGACCACCATCGATAAACTGGAAGCACTGGACGACCGTTTCGTTCAAGTACGGGACTCCTCAACAGTGCTAATTCACGATCCCGCACGTGGGGTTCGAACTCAGGCCCTTCGGTCTTGCGCGCGTACGCTTAACCTCTAGACCACGGAGTCGTACTTGGATTTCTGTGAAGGCACATGCTGTATGTCGTTCAAACAAGGTTCTTAACAAACCGATCCAAAGAATATTATACTGGATAAACTTCCCAATTAAAATAAAATGGTGTTATACTGAAAAAAAATATCACACTACAAATTAAACTGATTTTTATACTGAGTAGCTCTTAAACTGAATCAAAATGGGAGTAACATTGAATAACAACCACGCTGAGTTGAGAAATAATCTCTTCTTTATCTCATCCCTACATAAACAAATTTCTGAACTTATCTCGCAAAGTCAAATCAATTTATTTCAACGGAGTTTGTATGAGAAAGTTACTCAGAAACGTTTTGATATTACATCGTTTCAATCCTAATCTCTCGATCCAAGATTGACCTGTTCATCACTCCTTTATTTTGTAATGTTTCTAAACTCCTTTTTTCACTGTAAGGCTCGCTATTAACACAATTCAGTTTCTTCTTTATGTTTGTCAAGTCGATCATTTACCTTCCTACCTTTCTCCCTTAAATGATTCTCACTTAATTACTTCTTCAAACATTTTGATCATTACAGGTCTGTTCGAAACAGAAAATTTTTAATAATTTTGCTTGATCGTATCATCATATTTATATTTCATAACAGGCTTATATTCGTCCGATAGTGCTTTTCACGACATTATTGTTGATACTGGCACTATTAAGTCCATCATTTCAGTTCGGAAGTTGGAGTCGTTAAATCCCAACATTATAATTAAGCCTATTAAAGTTTCCATTTAGAATATCACAAGTCATAAACTTCTCGAGTGTTTTGATTTGCTGAATAAAGGATAGCTTTCCTTATTGACCATTGAAAACGGTTCTGGTGAAATGCTTGATAACCTGTTATTCACAGAATCGACTTGCGAAGAATTACTCACGACTACAAAGCCCACTCATTCTGATGCTCAAACATAACATTTCTAGTCCTTCAAAACAAACATCAATTCTATAACTGTTACAAAATCCAAAGATCCAAAGATGAGACTAGATGAAGTCTTTGAGTGCAGGATTACCAAACCGTACGCAAATTAAACAATGATGAAATTGTTTAAACAAAAAACAACGGTTATATAAATAAAGTATACAGTCTTCCAATATTACGTACAACTGATGAAAGTTTTCGTTAATGAAATTGCTCATCATTTACTCAACAGTCAACATGAGGTTGAATTTTTGAAATCTTTTAGAATAATCAATAAACAAAAGAATTCCAAACTGTTTATACCGAATTTTTATGTATCCAAATTAAACAGTTATCAATCTTGTTTTATCCTATGGATCTTAGTATTGTGAGTTTATTACATAAGATTTTGTTTCTATGCTTCCATGACATTTAATTAAAATTCTACTATCTTAATCCTTACTTCTCAACTTGTCTATATTACATAATCTATCTATTTTTGCTTTAGAGAAGAAGGATATTTCCTTTTTTTTTCTCCTTAATCTTCTAGAATATTCACATATTTATTCTAATAATAGGCAAACTTTAGAATAACTTTAATTCCTACGTATTATGGTTTCTTAATAATAATATTCTATCTTCATACTTTAACTCAGTTTACTCTAGATGTTGTGAGCATCTAAGAAGAATCATAGCAATAAAGGAATTCATGTAATTCAACTATAATATTTGTTCTCGCTTTATTCAAGTCCTCTGTAAGCAAAATGAACAAAATGTCATTATACTACTGTTTAATAATCAATAGTATAATTGAGTAGTCTGAAAAACATTTAGTTCCTTGTATCAAATAAATTGAAATCTCGAAATAAATATGATTTACTTAAGCTGTACACTCGTATTTATACTTACATGGATAATATATATCTATAGAAGGATAGAGAAGACTACATCATAAATCGATTGGAGACTTTTATCATCAGATGAGGTTGCAATAATCATGGGGTAAGAGCAGAATATAAAGTTGAAAATAATTTACGGGTCAAATATGAAGAAAAACGAAAAACATAAAGGACGGAATAATAAGAACTGAATGGTAACCAAGAAAACTATTTTAAAGTTAATAGTAACTGATTACAGTTTGAAATTACAACACACTTTAGAAAATTAATGATAATAATAACAACGGGAAAAAAATCGAAACATACGACAAAAAAGAAATTAGGGCCGCAAATTTCAGGCTTGAGTCGCTGTATTGCCAATGTCTTAGCAGTGCATAAGATTTTGATCCTTTCTCCCTTCGATCTAATTCCTATGACTATGTAGATTATTTTAAAAGAAGACTCCTTTGGAGCGATGTATCCATAGTTGATTAAATGCTCCTGGATTGAATTAACAATTGTTTCGCATTTTCATTTTAAAAGTCATGCCGGGCTATGTGCTAAGATGCTTTTGGAAAGTGGTCAATGTAACCTGCCACATATGAGCAAGTAAATTGATAGACTCACACTGATGTGGCTCAAAGCGGAAATTTATCCTTAACACATACATGAATGGTAGGGTTATATACCGATCAGTATAGTGAATGGTATCTGTCGGAATCTATTTCTGGACTAATAATATACGTACATTTTTGTTGCATAATTATTAAGTAGCTAAACTAAGCGTATTCATGTTCCTCCTATTATAAGCTTTATTCTGACCCATAGAACATTTTATACGATTTACTATTCTTGAGTTATGCCCTGTCTATCACTTACTATCTTCCTTATTCACAGCCACATTTGACCAAATCGTGTACAAATGTTATTTCTCATTTTATGCTACGATGTGGTTTGTCTGAATGGTTTATGAACCCAGTATGTTTGAAATACATGATTTATATCGTAGAGGTTGAGAATGGTGTTCTGTACTTAACAGGCTGTGTTAGGTAGGAAGCATGACCGATAAATACTTTAGACTGCTCATACGGGTTGTATGTGTGATTGGTCCAGTCGATAAGTCACACCACTCTCTAATCGACCGTATGATTACGTTATACGTTAATAAGACACAGAGTACAAGTTATAACACGTGGACCAGCTTGAGAACAGAATTTGGAGCTTAACTAAATAGAACGTTTTATTTAGTGATTTTGAAATCCGTTTATTCAAGATTTCAACATCTGTATCTTTTTTAAATTCCATACTTATAAAAAGCGTTTTCTTTTACAATGTCGTTGATCTTTCAGGGTAATATCTAAATTCAGTTGACTCATGATTTCAATCTGTGAAATTCCTAAAAACTCCACAAACCCCTTCTGATAATAATCATCTGCTCACTAGTGACTGACTTCAACAGACACTCCTGGAGTTCTAATGAAGAGCCGTTACCAGTGGAGTTCAACCTGTTCTGTTGTGAGATAGTAACTCACTGAAGACAATGGTGTACGGTGGCGCAACTTCGTGGATTGGTTGAAGTTAGACATTAACACGGTTGGATGCCGGCCGGTTCACTGGTCTAGTGGTTA